ACAGCAGAGGGTGCTGCTGCTGCTTCACAGGAGATATAGCTACAGGACATATCCACCTGTATCCAGGTACTCCATTTACTGTTGGTTCCTGCACACCGAGTCACTTGCTGCCCAAGCTGCTGATATTGGGACTCCAAGTAGATAAAACAAGTTCCTTCTAGGATGAACTTTCAGTGAACTTTCAGCTCCATGCTGAGCTGTCCGTCACTTCTTCTTTCTGATAGCACTGATTTAAAGGTTAAATGGGTCATGACCTTTAGATATCTAATGTGACATTGTGATCAAGGTATGAGGCAGAGAGTTAAACATTTTATAAACATTCTTGTGAGAATAAATGTGTTTTTACAAATGTTAAAATACTTTTAATGTAAATATAAAAGAACATGTGTGAGCAAAATTACTCTACAACTGTTATAACATATAATAAGATTATATTAGTCAACAATGCTAGCCTGTAGTATTAGTTAAATTAACTACTTATGTGATTATATTCTTTACATTTAACTTTATTGAAGTGAACCAGTTTTCCATCTCACACTATAAAATACAACACTTAATTCGCGGTTCAGTAAAACCTCTACACTGTCAGTAAGGAGCAATAAATAATACTTAGTAATACTTATAATAAATAAATAAAAACACACAGGCACTGACACAGACAGTCGGTGCGTCACCACTGTGTGTCGTCAGAAAACAAAGGACCCCCTGAACCCAGACCGCGGGCTAATGTAAAACAGGATTTATTACAAAAGTGTTTAAAAATAAATAAATACTATAAATACAAATAAAAATCTGACCGAGGAACCTCCAAACATATGCGGATCCAACGCTTTGTCGCTGCTGTCTCGACGCAGAGGAGTGACGTTTTCCCTCCGAGCTGGTAAAAAAAAAAAAACAAGTAGCAGGCTAACAGCTAATGCTGCTACAGCTGCGCAGTTTCGTTTCACAGAAAACACCGAAAACACCGAAAACACCCACACTGACATCCACCAGCCAGACCTGTGCACTGTAGCTGTGTTTGTACCCGCACAAGTAGAGACTGGAGAGTGGCATGGGCCGACTTTACCAAGCGGGGATAGTTGTCTGCTGCTGACTACAATAACCACAGAGGTAACCGATTACATTTGTGGAGATTCGTGTTCAGATTGTTACTTTGTGATTGTGAACTTCTGCCAACGTGGAGGATCGAAACACGAGTCTCAGTTAACGTCAGCTGGAGATAAAGTGAGCTGTTTATATGTGCGTTAGTGTGAAGACTCGTTGATAATAATAATAATAATAATAATAATAATAATAACATGTTGCTGCTTCTACTGATAGCACAACAGAAAATTATATTACAGTCACCTAAGATCTAAATATACATGTTTTGGGTTTCTCAAATTCCCCAAATTACTTTTATTTCGTCCCCAGAAAACAGCAAAGAGCAAAGCATGTTTGCACTTTTCCTACTTTGCTCAGTTTAGACAAAATATTAAAGAGTTGAGAGCAGAATAATAAAGGACGTATCCACTGTTTTGGTGGTCACTGTGGAAAGGACAGATTATCAGTTTTTCCTGTTTCGTCTTCTCTGCTCTGTTTTTCTTGTCTTCATATAAATGTTGAGCATTCCTCGTTCATAGGTAATAAAATATGTACGTCAGTACATTACAGCCATTAGAGCTGCAACTATTATGTTCAGTCTCAACAGTTTTTAAATTCATCCAATCATTATTTATTTGCAAAGGTCAGACCTTTAATGTCACAGCCTTTAATGTAACTAATGTAAAACTATTCAAAAAGCATATTAATGCAATAACAAAATAAGGAAAAATAAGAAACATTGTTCTCTTCTAAAGTCAGAAAACTTTACTTCATAAATAACCAGCACTTTATGCTTTCACATTCTAGTTGATACATTTCAGTCCATCTGTTAATCAGTTAACTGACTAATTGTTTAAGATTCAACACTATATGTCACAATCCTCTTGTACATGCATCATTAAAATTTAAATAATTTCCCCCTGGGATTATTAAAGTATTTCTGATTCTGATTGTCATACTTGCTGTTGTTGTTTTCTTGACGTGTACATGAAGGTAGATTCTGCTGCTCTATTCCATTTCATTTTGTTTAAAATTACCTTAACCCACGGTTGGGTGTCACAGTGTTTGGTTTTCTGCTATATCCTCTGTTGCACCTCATCCATCAAACAGAGTATCTTATTCTTATTGTCCTCTCTGCTTGGTTTCAGCCACAATGAAGAGAAGAGCCGAAGCGGCGTCGTCGCCGCTGCAGGGGACAAAGAGGCGCCGTGATGACAGCAGCTCAGACGAAGAGTCACAGTTATCCAGACAAGGTAGATGTATTCATATTCACCCTCCACACAATGTCTGGATAACAACGCAAGAGTTAAGATAACAATCTGGTGTTTTTATTGCCAGAGTAAATATTGTAAGTCACTTTCATACTTTGTTGTTGGTCTAAAAAATGTCAGGCTGTTTGTTTGCTTTGGTGTCTCTGCCTGCTCCTGTTCCTACATTAATGGTTTAGGTTAGGTTAGGTTAGGTTATACTTTATTCATCACACAACTCGTCACAGCAGCAAGTAATTAAAAAGTACACTAAAACACTATAAAAACACTAAAAAGAGGGAAGAAAGTTCAGAGCTGCTGTAACTAGCTGCCACTCACACGGCGCCATCATTGTGACAACAGTGTTTATACCTGTGGTTTTCTCCTGTCTAGACTCTAGTCAAAATGACTCCCTCAGTGACCAGGAGGATGTCAGACCAGGATTCTCCAGGCCCTCCGTATCGTCCTTTGATGACCAAGAGAATGACGCCTCACAGACCTCCTCCAGTTTCTCTTTGTACAACAGTGTGTCTCAGAAACTCATGGTAATGTATTGAAACCTGCATTAACTCTACATATTTAGTTATATTTAGTTTATTTTGCATTCAGAAGAAAGTTTTCTATTGTATTTTCCTAACTCCATTATTCTCTCTTTCCTCTTACGTCTTAGGCCAAGATGGGCTTCCGTGAGGGTGAAGGTCTGGGGAAGTTTGGCCAGGGACGCAAAGAGATCGTGGAGGCCTCTACTCAGCGAGGCAGAAGAGGTCTCGGTCTCACACTGCAGGGCTTTCAGGGGGAGCTCAATGTCGACTGGCGCGATGAACCAGAGGTACACAGCAGTAAATAATCACAGAATAATGTTTTCAGTGGTTTGAGTTGTGATGGTTTTATATAAATTATATGAATTATATGTCTATTATTGAAATGTCAATAGTTTTTTCCACATTTTGTATGTATACATCATGATGATTTGTTGACATAATCTGTTGTTTCCCATCTCCTGTCTCCCTTTGTTTGTCTCTTTCTGTTTGTCTGTTCAGCCCAGTGCTGTAGAGAAGGTAGACTGGTTCCCAGAAAGCACCACAGAGACCCCGGATGCAGATGAGCTAAGGGACTGGATGAGTCTGGGACAGGTAAATACAAACACTTGAGACGCTCACATAGATATATATCATACACAATGTTCATTCAGGCGTACTCTGCATACTCCCTCATTTGTATACATTTTGTTTTTAAAGTTTTGTTTTTGGCTGCTTGCAGAGAAAACTTAAGATTGAGGATGAGACAGAGTTTTGCACTGAAGACCTCTTACACACTCTTCTAAGGTGCAAGGTGAGTTATAACTTCTGTTTTATTTGAATCTCTTTTTGTTTTGTTTTACAATCTATATTTAAATACCTCCGCAGTATTTATCAAATGTTCAGGAAACAGAGGTGGCAGTTTGGTAGAAGGTTAATACCCTGAAGAAAGACTTAATTGTCCCTGTGAATGTTGCATCTGAGTGTTGACTTAATGTTAGTCCTTCTTTGGTCTGGTGTGAATGTTAGACATAAACCAGGAGAGGAGGTTTAGGATATGTAGGTGTAATTTTTGCATTTTGGGAGCCTTTTTTTCACTGTGTTGTAGTGAATATAGGATATTAATTCACTTTTCTGTGTGTTAAATTCTGTAGATTGAAATCTATGCTGGATGGACCCAAATCAGAATACTGTAATATCCCTGAGTTGTGTAACCACTGTGTCTGTTTGATGTTCAGACTGTATTTGATAACCTGGAAGGCGAGGAGATGAGGAGAGCACGGACACGCTCTAACCCTTACGAGACAATCAGAGGAGGTATTTTCCTCAACAGGTGAGTCTTTAGGTATTCATTAATAAATAGAAAATATGTTTCATTTTTGCCTTTTGAAAAACTTTACTGAAAACTTTTATTCTTTTAATCAAGATTTTAGTACCATTTTCATATGGGGAATGTATTCCAATCCTAGTAGTTAATACCAGATAACTTTTTAATTTTCACATGGATTAATGAGTACTCTGTGGGTTGTTCTTCCTGTATTTAGAGCAGCTATGAAAATGGCCAACATTGACCACTGCTTCGACAGTATGTTCACCAACCCAAAGGATTCACAAGGGGTAAGTTGCTCAAAGTAACAGCTGTTATGTGCTGCTCTGAACTTTTTTTTGGCTCACCCTGCACATGCCAATATAAACAGATGGTGAGACAAAACTTTCTGTTTTTGTAGAAACCTCTGACAAAGGACCGCGAGGGCGAGCTTTTGTACTTCGGTGATGTCTGTGCGGGCCCTGGAGGCTTTTCAGAGTACATACTGTGGAGGAGACGTTGGCATGCCAAAGGGTTTGGCATGACATTGAAAGGACCCTGTGACTTCAAACTGGAAGATTTCTACGCAGCGCCGAGTGAGCTGTTCGAGCCTTACTATGGTACGTGCATGCACATCACGTTCACAGGGGGAGAGCAAAAACTGGTTATGTCTCAGGTGATGAATGATTCAGTGAAAACTTGACCTTTGTGTGTCCCAGGTGAGGGAGGGGTGGATGGGGACGGCGACATCACTCGGCCGGAAAACATTACTGCCTTCAGAAACTTTGTCCTGGAAAGTACAGAAAAAAGAGGGCTGCACTTCCTCATGGCAGATGGGGTGAGACTATTTCAAAATTTCTTTCTTTCTAGTTCAGAGTATTTGTAGCTACAGCTCTGCTTCAGAGCATGCAAAAAAATCTAACATTTACATATCAAACAGAAGCTGAGGTCACAGACTCTGACAGACTGATAACTCTGGTCTCTGCCTCCGGTAGGGTTTCTCTGTAGAAGGCCAGGAAAACATCCAGGAGATCCTGAGCAAGCAGCTAATGCTCTGTCAGTTCCTCACGGCCCTCTCTACACTCAGGACAGGTATGTGTATACATGTACAGTAACCCATCTCATCGAGCTCCTGGTGTTTCTAAATTTCCTAAAAACTCTATGAAACCAATGAAAACATTTCTGTTTAGTGTTACCTACAGGATATTCATGTTCTTGTACTCACCCATGTATCTGTGTTTGTATCTGGGTTCAGGCTAAAGGATTGTGGTACTTTTTGTCTTTTCCAGGTGGTCACTTCGTCTGTAAGACGTTTGACCTCTTCACTCGCTTCAGTGTGGGTTTGGTCTACCTGCTCTACCTCTGCTTCGACAGGATATCTCTCTTCAAACCTGTCACCAGCAGGCCTGCCAACTCTGAGAGGTGGGTGTATGTGTCTGACAGCATTATCCTACTCCAAAGACAAAAACTGTAGTTTTACCTCTTATATCATCGTAACATAGTAACTTCAAAGTGGACAGAGACAAAATAAAACTCATCAAAAAATTATCTGTTAGTCTTTCCACTGTTCCAACAATCACCAACTCTGGTTTGGTCTAAATAAATCCTTAATTCACATATGTAGATGAGAAAAACAGCTGTTTCAGTCACTGTACTCGCTCGTACACAGAGGGACTCCGATGCATTAACATGCATGCATGGCCAGACCAGTTTTGTCAACAAAGCACAGACAGGCTGGGTTATAAACACATGCAGAGAGACACACATCCACACCATCCACTTTATCTTTACATAGTAAATAGCTGTTTGCTGCTATATTAAGGTTTTAAATCTCATGTTATGACCTTTATTGGCTACACCAAGTAGCAGCAAGATGACAAAACCCACAAGTTTTGTTACATAACGTAAGTAATCTCCACGTTCTCTGATATCAATCATTCTTCTTAGTAGCTAATGGGACAGAAGCTGCAAATAATTTCAGCAAAACTGCAAAAGAACTGAAACAAGTAATAGATCACAACACACACAGTTTTAGTGCTGATTGGAAAAACAAAGCGGCAGCAACATAAAGACTCAGTAGGCTTTTCTTTTTGTCACCGTCTGGCAGTGAATACAGGAGCATGGCTGCACGTACTGCCAGACTTAAGGATATATTTTACCACCGGGCCATCAGGCATCTCAACTTATAAACGTAAATATTATCGCTTAATATATCGCTTATCTGTTTACTTGCTGTCTGCAAAATGCACTACAAATGACTGCTGCTGTTAGACATAACCAATGTGCAGTAGTTCTGTATTAACTTTTACACACACTCATATATTTATATTGTATTTGTCTCACTTGTGCTGTGATTGCCACTAGTGCTCTTACTGCTGAGCTGACCTGTTTTTCTCGTCCAAGACATTTCATTGTATCGCAGACCCTGTGTTAACCTACATATAACTAATAAAAAAGAACAGAACTGATAACTTCTGAGTTTGCCACATGGCCATGTGATATGACATGGAGGTACATTTGACCCTTGGTCTTCAACACATCATTGGATCCCATGTTTTACTGGTTCATTTAGCTTCAGTGGAGACATAAATGAGCAAATAAATAGGAAGTGGGACTGAATGTGGTTCCAGTTTTTGAAATTCTTGAATCTGTAAATCTGTTCCCCGCTCATCCCACACCGTCTGCAGGTACATAGTGTGTCGTGGTCTGAAGCCTGGTTCAGATGCCGTCAGGGAGTACATGTTCAGGGTCAACTTGAAACTGAACCAGCTGAGGAACACGGACACCGACGTCACGGATGTTGTTCCCCAGAGGATCATTAAGGAGGACACCGACTTCTACCAGTTTATGGTCAACTCCAATGAGAGGTAGAGACACACAATATTCACAACAGCCTGAATCTTTTCATTTCAAACTGAGTGACTGACATAACCCGTGTTACTGCAGCCTCTGTGCAGTCCAGATCAAGGCCTTGGCTAAGATCCACGCCTTTGTCGTCGACCCGTGAGTAACCTCTCTTATACTGTGCGTTTACCTCTATTGCAGTAGAGTCATGTGTGATGGTGTTTATGTATGCAGCTGACTGTGTGGCACTGCATTTGTTTCTTTAGGACCCTTTCAGAGACGAGGCAAGCAGACATTAGGAAGGAGTGTCTGAAACTTTGGGGGGTGAGTGTAGAAACTGTGATACAGTTGATACAGAGTTTTATTCTTTGTCATTCTACCTCTAAATACATTTTATGTCCATTTCCAGGTCCCTGACAAGGCCAGAGTCACTCCTGCTTCCTCGGATCCAAAGTCAAAATTCTATGAACTGGTTAAGGTGAGTTTGTTTCTGCTTGTTAATAATGGAAGTAAACTAAAAGTGTTAAGCATCTTTGTGCACTGTAACTATATTTTCCATATCTGTTGAGATTTATGTTCAAAATCAAAAATTCAAACAAATATGTATTTATTTGCAAATGGGCTGGTTTAAATGTCTCCATGTGTGTCTTTCCTCTTCTCTTTACACCTGTTGCACCTCAGAATTCAGATGTGGAGTCGTTCCAGTGTAAGCTCACACCTCTCAACTCCACCACACTCGAGAAGTTGCGTCATATCCTGGACCACAGGTGCATCGTGGGAGGTGGAGAGCAGATCTTCCTCCTATCTCTGGGGGTGAGTCTTAAGGGTGACCTTTCACACAACTTGCACAATGCTCTTTTTGTACTGTCTTTTTCAAGATGTTCAGTATTTCAGATAGCAGTTCCTATCTATGCATTATTACACACAGTAATGTGAAACCCAGGTAAGTATCCTCATATAGAGCTATTTTACTATTCACCCTATTTTTTATCCAGAGGGATAGCGACAACCAGAGCCTTTTTTTTTTTTTTCATTTTAAAAGCGTGGTAGCCTGTGATTGAACCTGTGTTAATCTGTTTATCTGCTCTCTCCATTTCCCCTTGGCATGTGTAGAAGTCTCAAATATACACATGGGATGGGAAGATGCCTGTGCGCTGGAGGAAACTGGAGAATTTCAAGCTAGAGCTGCCAAGAGATACACTTCTGAGTGTGGAGATTGTCCAAGAGCTGAAGGGCGAGGTGAGAGGAGGAGCAGGGAAGATGAAAGCTAATGGATGAAATATGGGAGCCTGTATCCCAAACTCTTTAAGCTTGGCTCCACTATCTCAATAGATGATGTGTACTTCTGTTGTGTCCTACTTTCTTGATCTTTTGCTTATTTGCTTACAAAAAAAAGGAACAATTGCATCTGTTTTTGCTGCTCATGGTCAATATATAAATACAGTATATTTGGTTCTCAGGGCAAAGCTCAGCGTAGAATCAACGCAGTTCACGTAATGGATGCACTAATACTGAATGGCACTGATGTAAGAGATAAGCACTTCAACCAAAGGTAGGACAGTGTCACCTGTATCAGTGGTTCTTACTCTTATATTAATTTACTATAGTTTTACTTAATAATGACCGTTGTATGTGCAGGATCCAGATGGCTGAGAAATTTGTGAAGGCAGTGGCCAAACCCAGCAGACCAGACATGAACCCTATCAGGTAGTAATTTAAAAGAATTTAACTGTCCTGAATGCTGCTTTGTAATGTATTTGCAGGGATTTTATTCTCACTGAAAGCACTCAAAGGGTGGACAGTATGAGAAGCACACTTGCATAATATAATATACTAATACATATAGTATAATGTGTAGTGAAACACTGGTGGATGTAATGGAAGTTTGTACATGAAGCTTACAGATAGATTTAGTTGTAAACCCAACGTCCAACAAGTTGATATAACATTAACAAGACCTGAGATCAGTGGTTCTCAAACTTTTTCTAATAAGGTACCGCATTTGAAAACAGCTGACATTTTTGATAAATTAAAATATTGCTGTATTAAGAGTTACAATACAACACAACCTTGTAACTGAAAAACACTTCAGAACCCATCATAAATTCAAGGACTATTTTTGTCAACATGCAGTAACATTAAGAGACGGCAGTGAAGTTGTGAAGCTGTTGTTGAGTCTTTTTATTAAATTTCTCTTACAATTTAATGAAAAAACATGGGCTTGTGCTTCATTGAGGATCTTTGTCTTTCATCCTGGAGGCAACTGCAGTTTACAGTAGTTGACGATTGAATAGAATATTGAATATAAAATGTGGTTTATCAATCTTACATTTTACATATATTATATTATATTAATATATTTTAATTAACCTAAAAAATAAATCTCACTTACCACTTGCAGTACTCCAGAGTATGTTCCCCATTTGAGAAACACTGCTCTCGATGCTGACAATTATTGATGAAGTAAATCTGCGTTTAAGAACATGTGAGCATGATTTTGTGATATCACAGTTAAACTTTTGAAATAAAATATAATTGCATATTGATAGATGTTTTTTTTTCCTGAGGGAAAATGATTAGATATCATCAATAATTTTAAGAATGATAGACGCTAATTCAACATTTTTGTTGTAAAACCGTATACGACACAAACTCAGAGTGTAAAGAGTATTTTTGTCTTGAATGTAACTTAAAAGTTATGTTAAATCTTTTCCCCAAACAGAGTGAAGGAGGTTTACAGGCTCGAGGAAATGGACAAAATTTTTGTCAGGTATGACCCATCTAATAGTCACATGATCTATAAAATATCATGTTTCATATAGTAATTTACTACATGTTACTTTTTACTCAATCAGACTCGAGATGAAGGTTACAAAGAGTTCAGGAGGAGTCCCACGTCTGTCCTACACCGGCAGAGATGACCGACACTTCCTTCCCACCGGCCTGTACATCATTAAAACTGTAAATGGTATGTATATGTGCTCATCATCAATAAATGCCACTTATATTCTCTCACAACTTTAATTTGTTTGAACTGTGTCAAAGCCTCAACAGTCTCATCATTTTTGAGTATGTGTAGAGTCATGGACTAATAAAATGTGCAAATTCTGACGCGTCTCCTCCCTCTTCATGCCTCAGAGCCGTGGACGATGGCATACAGTAAAAACTCCAAGATGAAGTTCTTCTATAATAAAACAACCAAACAGTCCACCTATGAAATGCCACCCAACTCTGCTGCTCCCTTCCAGTATGTACTCTCTTCTCTACCCAATATCGATTTAATTTAATCAGTTGAATCAGTCAGTTCTGTAAATTCAGGTGTTTTAAACATGTTAATTATTAATACACTGATATCTTGATGATCTGATGAATGAACAGTATCCTTTCTCTGTCTTGTCCTCAGTGTTTGCCACTCTGAGCGGCTCTTCTGGGCGTGGGTGGACGGGGTGATAGTCCATGATTCTCAGACACGGATGGACCCTGAGAAACTGTCCAAAGATTGTGTTTTGTCCTTCGTCCACCAGAACTACCAGCCCTGAAACACTCGCAGAGCCGCAGAGCTTCAGCAGCTACAACCTAGACACAGAATGCACTACCTTATGGAGGATACAGAGCCTTAGAAACGGTTATCATACAATGTCTTAATTGATATTCATTGTGACAGGAAAAGAGGGATTCATAAAAGACTGTACAGCCAAATAAATACATCTACCAACAGTATCAATCAAGTTAAAAATTGATTAATAAACTGCTTTATAACCATTGTTAGGGCCCTCCTGTTCCTCTATATTATGTTGCTTAGAGAAATGACTACCGGGTTGTAACTGGAGTTCTGCAGCTTAAGTGATGAATTGTTTGCTGCTATTTCTAGCGGTGACATTTGGACTGTGTATAAGCAACGGACATTTGACAAATCACTCTGTCTTTCTGCCTTTTCCACTGCCCTTCGCTCTGAATCGTAATGAAGAAGACTCGCCTCATAGGACAATATGGAGACAAAATGCTGCTGCTGTCTCTACATTGGATTGCATGTCCCTGTAGATGAAATTTTACAGTTCCTCGTCCATACAATGCTCGTGTGTGTGTGTGCATACATCACAAGAGAGATGCATCTGCCAGTTGCAAATGTTAAACTATGCATCCATATCTGTAAACACAGACTCGCTTTGCCTTGCCTTACGCCTGCTCGTAACACTAACTGCTCCTGTCTTCATCTCCATAGAGACCAGAATCTTTCGTCCCTGGTTCTCACCAACGGGCTCCTTATTGTCAAACCTGAAAAACTGTAGCTGAAGCCTAAATACAAACAAACGTATCCTCACCATCATTTTAACATCTATGCCAGTTACAGATGTAGCAGTTTTTCCCCACAAATACCTGGACTATCATACTGTGTGTGTGTGTGTGTGTCAACATTTGATTGGTGTCCTGTTAGGTTTTAGGTTTGTTTCTACTCTGACACGTCTTTGTGATTGTGCCTCATTATCGCCTGGACTTTGTGTTTATTAAATATTGCAAAATGAGTTATTTTTTTCTTGTAAAGTTAGCCATAAATCCTTTTGATGTAAATATTGATAATGTAGTAAATAAATTGGAAATGCTCTTCCAAGAAATTACTTTGAACTGCCCCGTGACATTTGATTCAGACTGTAGTCTGAGTGATAATAACATGAAGCTGTTTGTCAACTAAAATGTGCCCACAGGACGCAATCAATGGTAACCTAATTGTATTTTACATGAAACAGATTTACAAGACATTTAGAGACTAGTTCATGTTCTCATCCTTATTTTGATTAAAAATAATCCCTCACCTGGCTGGACATTAGAGGGTTTTTACTTTTTTAGGCGTCATTTGGATTTATAATTTCTTATCATTTCGCCTCCTGAACCATCTTGTGCTCCATAAATGTTATGGAGCTCAAACACATAAACACCAAAGTTGAACTTTTTACCTCTTTATTTGCTCAGCGGTGTTTGCTTTAAAGATCAGGACTCTTACTTTGAAATCCCACTCTCTCAGCCAATCAGCTTTCAGCTTTATATAACGCAAACAGGAAGCGATGTTATGAAAACAAACGCACTCTACACCCTGACAGCAAGGACCAAACAGGTGACTTTACTGGTTATTCTTTCATTGTCCTCTGTCTTTTATTCAATTATTTTACAACTTACAAGATGATAACATTGTTTTAAATAAATAAGATACGTTAGACTGTGAATAATTAGCAGAATATGAGTTTTTTGCTGAATAAGTCTTTCTAGAGTTGTTTCGTAAGCTTAGATGCGTTTGGATACATAACTAGTCTCATGAGACCTGAAGTGACTGCTTATATAAACTAGCATCAGGATTAATATCGCCTAACTCTGCATACAATGTATTATATGCTGTATTATTGTATTACAGTCTAAGTTTGGTATTATTTCACTTTACAGACAGTTTTGAGCACTTTGACACCAGCCATGCTGAAAGCTGTGGGACAAGCTCTGTTCTCGACTGGACTGCAGAACCCTAAATTCACTGCAGAGGAGAAACAGGTAAATGTTTCCCAGATTACTTTGTGTAAAAAGAAAAGACAGTAAACCTTTGGCCTGATGTTGGTCGTTCTGTTTATCACACTGTCATGTGACCAGAGATGTGAGTAGTGTGTGTTGAGTTGGTGCTGAAATGTGTCAGTGTATAAGCTTAAAGTAAATAAACTTTTTATTTATTTATTTGTCACTTGTCTCTGTTCACAAATGGAATATTTGGAGGGTTTTGAATTGATAATAGGACAAAACAATTGATTACGTCACCTTGGACACTAGAACTTATAATAGGTATTTTCAAAGTTTTCTGTAGTCTTAAAGATTTGTCAGTCAAAAAGTCAATTAACCATTTATCAAGAAACATTCTCATGAAAACATTGGCTGCATCCAGCTTCTCCAGTGCTGCTTTTCTTTTTTTATTTAACTTAAAATTTAGTATCTTTTGGGCTGATAATCGAATGAAACAATGCATTTGCAGATGTCATTATTGGTGTTACACCTTTAATATGTTACCTGTTAGCGTCGGTTACGCTAGAGGATTAATAAATTAATAATATTGAAGCATCGACAAAAGTGTGGTGTTGTATCACTCCTTACAATGTTTGTGTCTTTTAATCTTTTAATATTATGAGGTCACAACTAGTGGTAACAGCTTTCTAAATATCTCATATCTTTATTTGTAAAGCACCTTTCATACAGGTTAATGTAATTCAAAGTGCTACAGATGCTGATAATAAGACAATAAAACAATTTAGAGACACAAATGTGTGACCTGTGCCATATAAACACTATGGTGTAATCATTTGTAGTAAGAACCATTAAAATATGTGACTTATCTAAATACTGTGGGGTCATAATGTTTGGTATACTGTATTTTAAAGACTAGTAGTGACATTACAGCTGATCAGTTCACAGAATATTTTGCAACAGGAGCATTTTTCACTAGTTTATAAAATTGTATTGATCCACAGATTAATTTATTATGTATGTATGTATGTATGTTTTACAGGAACAAGACTATGAGATTCGCACCTATCATGCCACTAACTGGGTGAGCACGACTCTGAGTGGGATGCAGTGGGATGCTGCCATGAACACTGGCTTCCGCAGGCTCTTTAACTACATTCAAGGCAACAATCACAACAGTAAGTTTCATCAGATGTTATGCCTTTTTTTTTGGAGTCTGTACCAAACAAACATGTTTTTATAGGTCAGGGTATCTCTGAAGCACTACAGTACCTCATTATAATATGGCTTTGTCTGACAGCTTCTATTTGGATATTGCACTCATGATATCGATAATATTTCAATGAATTGGCCCTACCTAGAGTGACACATGGATGTAGGGTGAAAGGTTTTTGTCTCTCTTTTGTTCAGAGGTGTTTTTTTGTGTTAACAAACTTAATGTAAAGCCAAAAACGTCACCAAATTAAATGAAACATGATTAAATGCAGCCAGTGAAGATAATAAAATTCAAAAGTTGCAGAATGAATTGGTGTGAATACGAGGGAGTTGATGAATATATGCAAAGAGTCAAAGAAAAAAGTGCACTTTAGTTCTTGCTCAGCAGTTTGTAACGGCACCACTGCCTTTGTCTTACTCAGCAGTTTACAGCAGCATTATTTATGAGAATATATATTGTTTGTGCTGTTGACTACTGAGGTCTGCAGAGTGAGGACAGAGTGATCTGTAAACCTGGTGTTTAATCCTCCACATCTGCCACACATTGTGGTTGTATGTCCACCATCTGTTCAGGTATCTTTAGATACTGAAGATTTGATTCACCAGCTGGCAACTGAGGGTTTGTTTGGGAAATGTAATATATGGACCTACAGAAGCTGCTTGTCAGATGTGGGCTTTTTTCTAAATATATATTTCCTTGTTCCTCAGAGGTGAAAGTGGAGATGACGGCCCCTGTGTCGTGCCGCGTGGACCCTGGAGCCGGCCCTGCATGTGAGTCTCAATTCACTGTATCCTTCTACATCCCAGAGGAGCATCAGGACAATCCACCGGAGCCAAGCGACCCGGAGGTGTTTGTGGAGAACAGGAAGGAGTTCACAGCTTATGTCAGGTAGAGTTCGATGTCAGCACCAACTGATTATAATATTAATATATATAATATTATACTATTATAATAAAATTAACTCCTATTTCAAGTTGATACTCAAAATGAATCCTGCAAATATTCTCTTTTTACTTTCTCCTTTTTAGTTCTAACTGATACCAAATTAAAAAAAAGTTCAGAACTGATTAAATTAAATTAAATAAAGACTTTAAATTCCTGATAAGCAACACTTAATCGTCTTCCAGGACATATGGTGGTTTCTCCAATGAGAAAATGAAGCGTGAAGAGCTCCTGAAACTTCTGGAAAGCCTGCAAAGAGACGGAGTCCAATACGTCGACAAGCCGTTCTACGCAGCCGGCTATGACAGTCCATTCAAACTGACCAACCGCAGGAACGAGGTCTGGGTCCTCAAGCAGCAGCCGGAGTAGGAAGTTTAAAGGTCACGCAGCACTCAGCCCATGATAACTTTAAATATTCACTAAGAAAAAAAGTTTATATGATCTCTTGATAACACTCTGTCTGACATTACTTATCAACGTCCAAAGGGAAATAAACATTGTAATTATAAAAGTGTGATGGATGAAATGGGAAGTTTAAAAGGTCGCACTAACAACCAACATTTGTCTTTTTTTATTTATTTCCTTTGAAAGTTACTGAATTATAGACTCACTGAAAGTCCTGAGAATGATTACAAGAGGTCACCATTAACAAACTGGATACAGTGGGCCAATATTGCCAGCAGGTGGAGCCAAGTAGTCAGGAAACATTTTCTTTCTTTTGATGCATCTTGTTACAGAAACCTCAAGTGCCTCCTCACTTTATTATTAATGAAAATAATAATAATAATTGAAAATACACTAATCCTCAGCTCTTGCATTACGTGCATTAATAATTTCTACTTATTCAGTGATACTTAAACGTAAAGAAAATACCTTAAATTTCAATAATGTGATAATTCTGTATTTGTTTTCACCTAAACCTTCATATAAAAAAGACTGTGTGCAGGATGAAGAAATAAAGTCCATGTTTTAAAGCAGTACTTATCGATGATTTTACAGTAAGATGTGGGACAAAATCCACAGTCCTCATTCTGTGTAAAGATTCTTTCTAAAGTTGAGCCAAAGCCAATATGAGGCTCTAATACAGTTAGTTGAGTACAAAATTCCTTCTTTGTGTTACGGCTGCTCACCAAGGACAGACTGTTCATGAAAACACAACACAAGACTTTTGTGTAAGAAAATAATTTATAAAGAAATCCACTTAATAAGCCTTAGATTATTTTAGAGAACTGTGGATTACATGGGAATCACCGTAGGAAGGGACTTCTTTGCAGGACAAATAACACTTTCAATGTAGAAGTTGATATGCTATTATTGTTTTTAAGATGAACTTGGAAAAACTGTGAACTGATCCTTTAACTCTGTAGTTCACCTGCAGATTTTTTCCTCTTGTTAGTAAGTAGTCGTGTTGTGAAGGTGACTCCTGCCTGACAAAATGTTGGGAAGTCTCAGTTTATCTGAGCTCAGACCTGATTTACCGTCACTCACTGCTATCACACTCGTAATGATGAAGGACTGAGTCACTGTAAATCTGGACCAGTCATACCTGCATCACTCACGTCTCAGCAAAAAAAACAACAAAACACCCCTCTGATGAATTAATAAGTGTGTGGTTTTCCTGCTTGTGTGCTTTAAACTCAGATTTAGTAACATTTCTGGTGCTTGCTGTGTGTTGGATATTAGCAAAGAGTGACACTTACAAGCTAACATTAACATTATGCCTTATATCTTTTATGAGTTTACCACTTTTTATACATTAAATCATGTTGATCCTCATATTTAGAGCTCATGATGTACTAGAAATTGTGTTTTTAATCCAGAAGAAGGGGTTTTACATGGTACTTGATGACACTGCACTGATAAATGATTAATGGGATATATTTCATACCCTTTTTTTTTTTTAAATGATGTTTAAGAATGTAAAATTATCTCATCAATAATAAATATAACTCAGCATCAAATGATTGAGTATTCTAATAATTTATTACCTCCATCTTCACTGTGTAATTATGTTTTTTGTCCTCTGGTTCGTGATGTTTTTTTTAATGTAGTTGACAAACCACAGAAAGCTTCACTGCATTTTTTTATCTGCAGTTGATACAGTTCAGACCGTCCTCCACACTCTGATGATCGTGACCTTTTTTCCTTTATCAGACAGATTAAATCCTCGCCACGGTTCACACCGAGCTTCCTCCTCCTTCACCTTCTCATCGTCAGGTTCATGTCTGCTGAGTCATTCATTTTATTTGTGGTAGAATTGTTCCCACTATCATGTTCAGACACTCAGCAGAAATAACGTCTTTTTTTATCCTCTGCGCACACACACACAGAGTCCGTCTGTTGTACACCAGTCGTATCGATCTCATCGCCTGTGTTCAGTGAGGTGAAACATTGCTGCGGATAGGAAATGTATAATGAGGCTCACTGTTTTTGTTCTGTGTAGTTTAATGTTATCTAACCCCCCCAGAGCTTGGTGGAAACCTCGAGTCAGGATACAGTAGAAGTGGAGGACAAGTAAAAATACTTCCATGACAAAACTCATTTTCTGGTGATGGAGATAAACTGGAAGAAACTAATGAACACATTTTTATGCCTCCGCTCCGGCCGTCGCTGTGGCTGGAGGCATTATGTTTCTGGGTTGTCTGTCCGTCTGTCCAATTCTTGTGAACGCGATATCTCAGCAACGCCTGGAGTGAATTTCTTCAAATTTGGCACCAACGTCCACTTTAACTCAGAGATGAACTGACTAGATTTTGGTGGTCAAAGGTCAAGGTCACTGTGAGCTGACAACATCCAAGTATGTTTATTTGATTTTATCAAGGTTCCAGTTTTTCCCACATCCAATACTGCACATTAAGCGTCCCAGGTGTCAGTAGGTGTGTTCATCTATGTAAAAATTTACTTGGCTGGCAAATGTGAATGTTGTCCAAAGTGTTTAAGTCTTGTCTTTAAATGGCTTGTTCTGTCCGACCAACAGATCTAAATGATTTACTATCATATGACAAACATGCTCAGATTTGAGAAGCTTTCTGGCATTTTTAGCTCGAAAAAACAATCAACAAAATAGTTGATTTATTTTCTTACAAGAAGTAAGTGTCAAGGGACTTGACACTTACTCAAGAGAGATAATCTATACTGAGCAAACAGGGAATGTTCAACCTTGATGCATGCATCAAGTCAGTGGTTCCCCTAACCTGTTAGTAGTACGGCAGTGCCTCCTTAAGATAAATCTGAGGGGTCATAAGGGTACTATAACATATAGTCTTCAGTATAAGGGAAGAGGGGAAGAATTCAAGTGTCAATAGTGTGATTATGGCCGGGAGGAGTGTGCATTGATTTCTGTCTGACAGCCAGATGGACGCAATGTCATCTGTGCAGCGTCAGAGGGCAGGTGACTCTGCTGGAGGGACTTCATTGTAAATACTAAGACGTGGTCAGTATTTCTGTGCCCTTGTGAACGAGCGGTCGACGTGCCGATGCATCGAAAAGGAAGCAAGGAGCTGCGGGGAATGTTGAAAGGTTGCAGCCTTAAGACGTGAACCTCGAACTGACAGTCAGGGTGTTTCAACACTGCTCTGAAGTCAGTGGAAAGGTCTATTATGGGCTGAGCTTGTGATTCAGTGTGTGTCCTAATAGGATGTCCAGAAGGAGACATAAGTGATGACCCAGAGGGGAGGAGGGGGTAAACGATGGCCTCCGGAGCTTTCCAGATGACGGACGAGTGTGGGTACCATGGCGACCGCCCTAATGAGGCGGTGATTTGGGGGTGCTGGGCTGGCAGATGGCTGTGAATCACACACACACACACACACACACACACACACACAGAAATGACACAGAAACCTGCTCTTTAAATATCACCTTGTTTTTTATTACACAGACATACACAAGAGCGTTAGCAGCCTGCCTTCAGCTCCACTCCCACTACTTCACGACTTCGTCTGTCCTCCCGTCTTTTCACGAGCTCTCTGCAATTGAGAAGTTTCCTGTCACGAGACAAGTCGGGGCCCCAAGTGCTCAATCATGACCGGGCGGGAGCTGGGAGACACACTTTGGTCACAGGTGATTAAACCACAGGGTGTTATGGCTGTTAGGAGGTTATGAAGTCTCACGCCTGTCACCTCAGTTTATGACTCTAAAGAGACCACATTTACTCAGCTGTGAGCACCAGCGTTAGATTTGCATGACTCAAGATTAAGGGCAGTAGAAGGCTTAAGCATAAACATTGACATTATTGCATTTTTCTAACTTTGAAGCACCTTTTTAAAAGAAATAAATGGGATCAGCGTAGTAAATGTGGCCTTTGGACTAACCTTTCCCTGTGCCTCCATCACCTTGCCGGTTGACTCTGATCGTGACAAGATACTGCAGCCCTGCTATGTGAAAATAAATACTCTACAAAAAAAAAAGGAAACCACTCCCTTCCAGCAAACACAGGGCTCTAAAAATGTACAAAGTCTTTGAAAATAAGTCAAAATGTGATTTAAAACTCCTTTCTCTATGTATTTACATACACAACCATATATAACTGCAGAAGGAAAAACTTAGCAGAAGGGTCAACAGCATTATAGAAATCATTTAAGCCCTAATAGGTTCTAGTAGGTCTCAGCAAAATTAGCGACAGCTGGACCAAATGCATGGGTGTCAGACAAGCGCTCACACTCTCAGATTGTGTTCACGTCCAGATTCATTTATCAGCTCTTTGGTAACCAACATGATCACTAAAAAGACCCAGTCAGTAAAATTATGTTTTCTTCTAATGTCATTTCTGGCTTTACATCTATAGATTCATACTTAACTCCCAAACACAAGTCATGACATCAGTTGTTTATTAAAACAATCTTTAAAACATACTTTTTAAGTCACAAACAAAGAAAAACAACTATGCACAGTGCAAAATCTCCAAACTAAAATTCACTAAAAGAGGTTTTATGAGCCTTTTTAATAAAGTAAATTTGCAGTTTTGGTTGAGCACCCAACTGTTGTTCACTTCCTGTCCATCACTAGGTGGCAGCACTGAGCCCTCTGCACTTCCTCTGGCCCACTGAACACACCAGCTCTGCAAACTAAGCCGCTGACCTAAGAGCAGAAAGCAAAACCTGTCGATAACCGTAGCTGAAGTTGTACCGTGGAGCTGTCCTCGAGTTCTTTCCACAATGTGGGCTGTTTGAAGCCAACACTTGCGACCCATTGGTACTCTCAAACACTTTCCAGAGCCAACAGTAGAGACGCAGAAGCTGAGAAGAATTACAAGGCGAGCATTCAACGCGCCTTTTACGTTCCACTCCAACTGCCTAGCTACATAGCACCACAGCAGCAAAGGTAAGCAAACAACTTGTGACTTTTCAATTCCTTCAATTCACCTTAGTTTGCCATCTTAACCTTGTCATTCAAAGAAACTAAAGGGTTCCTGCGTGTTAAGGACAAGATAAAGTAAAAAAAAAAAAAACCAGCAAAACAAATGGAAAACAAACTAAGAACACCAGGCATAAAAGAAACACTATTCTTTTAACATAAAGGGTGAATCACCAAACGAAGGAAAGAGTGAGAATCATGAGATCTTGAAAAGCTGCAGCAGAACCAGTTCTCCACTTCAGGCTAAGTTCAGCCCGGTCCATGATGGGGCGACCTCTGATCTCACATCAGGACCCGACCATGTCCACTCCCTCAGAGGCAATGCTGAGGGGGTGGGGCTTAGGAAGGTGTCTCTAGAGGGCCTTCTATTGGCTCCTCTTCCTGCCCCCCTAGCTGTTTATGATGAGTGAGTTCAGCTCCCTGTATCTAAGGGGCTGCCTTGCTCTTTAACTTCTGCTCTCTTCAGATAAAGTGCCATTGGAGTCTTTGAGCCCCGGGAGAGTCTGGATCGCTGGCCCAGACAGACTTTCTGAAGTGTCTCCATACTCACTCTCAGCCAGCTCCCCCTCACGCTCACAGATTACTGTCATTGGACTGCTGAGGATTCGACTGCGTGCGTTGTACTTGCTGCTGGCAGCAGAGGGCGGCGTGCGTGAGCGCCCATACTTTAACCCACTCATTGAAAAGGACGATGAAGTTGGTGAGGACAGAGAAAATGTCTCATAGCGGTTCCACTCATCTGTTGCCCTCTTACCACGGCCCGGGGAGGTTATGGGGCTGTGTGGTGCTGTGGGTGAGGATGGGGAAGCAGCAGGGGTGTCCAACTCTGACTCAGAGCGTGTTCTCTGGAAGCGAGGGTCCGTGGAGCGAAGCATCTCGGTGGCAGACATCCTGAAGCTGGTCTCTGAACGGCTGCCCTTCTTCAGGAGCAGGGCCTTGAAGGTGTCGCTGCTGGTGGAGGACTTGCGTAGGTTGCGCTGGATGGAGCCACTCTGGCGGGGTAAGGAGGACACTGTCCCTGGCGATACGGCTGTTGGGGTGACGGGCGGAGACTGTGGGTGGCTGCCAGCCCGGGACTTGTCATCGTCAGACTCCCTGCGACCCAGGACCTTGCGCTTTGACCTAGGGTGAGAGGTGGATAACTGGATTAATGACGTGCTTGTAGAAATTCTGCAGAGTGAGTTGAGAGCAAGCAGGTTAATTAATTTGTAAAATAATTGAAGGGACATTAAACATCGAACTGATAGAAGAGCAAGAAGAAGAAATGCAAGAGTTGGGGGCAGCTTTCTCAGGAAACAATGATATTAAGTCCAATAATTCAGATTAAAATAAGGCTGCAGTATATGTGATTTCATATAACTGGGCAGAAAGCAGCCTTTGGTAGACTGAATGTTTCTGTGTTGTCAAAAAGAAAAAAGATTGCACTTAAAATACTTGGCCTACACGCCTCAAATCTTTGTCCCAAATTTGCCATATGTCAGCTCTGCCCCCAGCAATCATGCGTCACAGCACAAATCAGTAAAACAACAAGGAGCACTGAGTGGCGTGGATGCTCAAAAAAAAAAGAAAAGGGAGAGAAACAGGAAGTAGAGTTCTACACTTTTGTTAAAGAAATCCAATGAGTTTTTACAAGAGAAGCTGCAGACGCTGCAACTCTGCAGGAAAGCTCAGACGCGGCACAATGAAATTAATCAAAAACACAAACTGGGAAAAGTGCCCAAAGCAGTTTTAATCACACCAGGACAATTCAGCCTCCTCTCAGCAGGGGGTATTAGAGTGGTTGCACCACTCAGCCTACACTGTCTATAACTCCTGCACCAAAGCATAGCAATGAAGCTGCAACTGGCAGAATACAGGGATTAAGGGCAGCAGGGAAACTAATCTAATCTGAGGTCCAGGGGGGGTTGCATTGTGAGATTACTGTTGCTAATCCAAAGGTAGCATCGCCGCGATGGCACAAACAAGGTTTGCTAATTAAAGGAAGGGGCTACTTGCCACTTCGCACCTCTCTAGAAAGGATGCACCCACCCACTGCATGCCCCCTCTGCACAAGGATGGAGAGGGGGGGAGAGGGGAGACAAATGATTAAAGGCATGGAAAATACAGATTCTGTGATAAGGAGAAGCGATTTGATGCTAAAAGTAAAGGGAGCAGTGAAGGATGCAGTGAGACAAAATCCTTAATCCTCAGATTAGATCTACAGAAGGAAATTCTACCATAAAGGACAAATAACCTGTAGAGAATATACTTGAATGAAGGTCAAATGAGAGGGGGAACTAGAGGAGACAAATGCTTTGTGAGAGAATCTCAAGTCTGCTTTCTGTTTCAGAAAGAACTGCAAAATATGTGTCGGTGCCCTAAATTCAACCTCCATCCAGCGTCGTCCCCTGTGAGCTCCCTCGCCACATTAGCCCTTCAGCGTTACGTAAGACTTCTCACACACATTCACACGTGCATACACTCGCACCTGAATTCAGTCAACCACGACGGCTCCATACTGAACTCATGGTTTATTAAATTCACAAACATACAGCCACACTGGAGAGGCAGTGATAGCGATGTCAGTTATAGAGGTAAACAAGGCTGCAATTTAAGACCTGTCTCGGAGTACTTGATCGATTTCTTTCTCTTGGCTGTATTACACTTGGTTTGGAGGATCTCCTCCAGACCAGTCATATTTTGTGCTGCAGCTGTGAAGGCATTTCATTCAATGTTTTCATTCTCCCAGAGGGAGAGCAGGATAAAACTGTGAATGTAGGAAGGGAAATGACAAACCAAAGTATTGGACAGGTGAGAAGAGGAGAGGAAATGTGTCAGAGTGGTGGAGAAGGAACAGTTTGACAGCATTGGGGCTAGAAAGTCGCAGTCAAAAATACAAAATATATAGATTTTAACAATTTTATTAAATAGTTCAACATTGCCCTTTTTATTATATAAGACAGTTTAAGATGGACAGGAAAGGAAGAGAGAGAGGGGATGACACACAGCCAATGGCTCAAACATACAGCCACTACAGCAAGGACACATGGGACGCCAGCTCAACCAGGTGAGCTACCTGGGCGCCCCATGTTTTTAAATTTAAAACACTACCTCCCCATCTCTTGAAACTTCAAAATAATGTATCCAACTTAACATTTATTACAGATATGACGCCCCACTTTTGGCAGATTAATTCATGAATTTGTGCATGTAATTACATGAGTTAATTTCTTTTTTTCTTCACAGTCGTCCTCTCATTTTTACATCACCATGAGGAGTCCCATATCACTTCCCACTTATCAAAAATATGTGAAATGATTGTATATGTTCTATAATAAAGAGGTGCAATGATGGAGGAGGAGGAGGAGGAGGAGGAGAAGGAGGAGGAGAGCAGTGGTAAACAAACAGTTCCATTGCAAGGTTTACACACACATGCTTACACAATCTTCACGTCTAATTAAACTACACAATAAATCGCACTTGCACACGTCACGTCTGCACCATAAATACATCGACAATCTGTTGCCAGCAGAAATAAAGTCCCGTGAAATAAAATCCTGTGATGCTCAAGAGAACTCAGACGGCCACCGCACGTGACTGTGAAACACAAACTGGCGCGCTCCATGAGAAATTTATGTGTGTGCTGCCTTTGAAGCACGGGAGCACGTATGCAATATATGTCGGAGACCGCAGAGCAAGAGAGAGAGAGAGTGAAATCTCTCTGGTGGCCTCTAACCTAGATTAGGACCAGAGGGTGTTGAGTATTTAAATAATGGATGAAGCAACCGTCTTTTTTCTCCTGCTGAGAATAAGCAACGCTAATGTGACCAGCGCTAACAGAGATGCCTCGATAAACATTTCACTACTAACTCGTCTTGCTTCCTGAATCAGTCCCCTCACTGACTGGAAACAGAAAAAGACACTCCTGGGCTGGGAGGCTCCAGAGACCAGATATTTGACAGATGTGTATGCTGGCAAATGGGACAGTGCTGGGTAAAGTTATGACTGAGAGGTGGAGGGCAAGAAGAGGAGGAGGAGGAAGAGGAGAGGATGATGAGAGGGGGGGGATGGAGATGGAAAAAGAAAAATTATGGGTTGAAGGATGAAGGAGGAGAAGGAGTTCAGGGTGATATGTTGTGGTTTATGAGGGGGTGAGAAGGAGGGAATGAGACGCTGACAGAGAAAGAAGGGGGGCAGATAGAGAAAAACAAACAGAAAACAAAATAACAGAGTACGAGAGGAAAAATAAACTAGCTCACTGGAATAAATTAGGAGGAAAGAAGTGACAACAGGCATAAAAGAGACAAATGCATCATGGTACCTGTGAATGGCGGCAAAGAGGTCCTCAGTGGTTCGAGCCCGAGAGGGAGTCGGGGTCACCATGTTCTCCTCGTTGGCCGACGGGGCCGGAGACGATTCAGCCGTGCTGGAGTCGAACACCTCACCTGAGATAGAGGAACATACAAGTTAGACACACACACACACAGTTACAGGAGCGTAAACACACATTCTTCAGGTGTACTCTGCACAACACACACACATGCACACACTCATGAATCCACCATCCCGTCGAATTAACCTGGCTGCCTATAAAATCTGAAGTGCTACGGAGGAGGTGTTGGACTGTCTTACATTCTCTTTCTGTCTCTAGATTTCCTCTCCTCTCCTTTCTTCTCCTCTAGTTTAGCTTCTTGTCTCCTCCTCCTCCTCCTCTCAACCTCTTCGCTCACGTCTGCGCTCCGACTGCCTGAGCCGCTGCAGGCAGTCTCACTTTACGCTCTCCCCGTCCTCCCCTTCATCCCCTTACCAGATCTGTCCCCTCCCCTCTGATACGATGCAGCCCCTCCCCTCTTCTCCCTCCAACCACGAAAGCATCTCCCCTGGGACACTTGCCCCATCCCTTACCTTCGGAGAGAGAGAAGGAGGGATAGATAGGGAGCGGGACAGAGAGAGGGGCTGACTGAGGATGAGAGATTAACAGTAAAGAAGAGGAAAAGGCAGAAAGGAAAAAATTGATATTTAGAAATAAGGATGGATGGTGGAGAGGATTCAAGTAGACAGTGGAGGCTGAGGTGTGTGGTAGGGGGCAGAGAAAAATAGCAATGCGGGAAAAACGAAGGGACAGTAACCACAAGAGATCTCTGCATATGAAATGTAGAAGGATGAGTAGAAGAGAGAATAAAGAGATGGGGCATTCAAGAGGCTGCAGCAGTGCTGTCCCAGTGATAAGCCGTAGCTCCTGAGCTATTTTCACAGTTTTCAAACCTTTAAAAGCTTGTGGTTTCAAGCTTGGATCCTTTGCTTCGGAGGGCAAAATGAATTTCACAGCTGCCTGAGGAGCTGGCCGCACAGCTAGCAGACAGCAGCATCACCACCAACCATATAGGATTATGGTAATGAGCTCAACCAATACGTTAATGAAGGTTTTGACTGCCGCCATCTAAAACTAGTGTTTTCTCTTCACAAATTCAGTTTCATTTAACTTAACAAAAAAGTATGTCAGACTCACCAGTGTCATCCTCCTTGGAGCTGATGGATCCAGTTGTGCTACTTGTTCCATCTCCCTCCTCCTCTTCCTCTTCATGAGCCTCTCCAAAGGTACACAGTCCATGGTCAAAACTTGTGTCCTGGCTGGCAGAAGTAGAAATATGGGATTCGTCCTGGCTTATTGTGGATGTTTCACTGCTCTCTACGAGAGCCCCAGAGCTTTCTGAAGTTTCCTCTTCCTCTTGTTGCTCACTTTTACTTTCTTTCTCTTCCTTTTGTCTTTGTGGCGCATCTACTTGGTCTTCTGTTTGTGACAGGCTGCCTGTATACTCATGCTGAGATGGAACCTGTTCTGCTTGTGGGACAAATGGTGGGAGAAAAGAGAATTTGGGTTTCTTGGATATGGCTGGGGGTTTCGGTTTGACAGGAGAGCTTTGGGAGCTCCGTGGGGGACTGGACTGCCATTCGACTTTTTCTTTTCCGTTTAAGAGAAAGTAACTCTGATCCTCACCTTGTCCATTTATGACAGCACTATCTGGTGTGTAATCTGTGAAACTGCAGTCTAAAGACAACTCCTCTAAGAGTTTTGACACCGGTGATGGTGAGGAGTTCCTTGAATCTTCTGGGGAGCAGTTTGACAGGGGTAAAACAGTGGGAAGCTCCAGGGAATAAGACTTCTCCAGGGTCTGGGGCTTTAGACCCTGAAGGAGATCCACACCTGTTTCCTGAGCACTGGTGTAGTCTGATTTTCCGTTAATCTCCTTTTCTTGCCGTTTAACAGAGCGGAGCTGAACACTCTGCAGTGCAAACGGGGTGATCAGGGGCTTAGATGACTTTGTAAGGCTGTCGGAAACAGTTGGTTTAGGAGCATCCTTCACTGCCTTCACAAAAGATAGGGAGGAGGAAGGTAGGACAAAAGCAGGCAGTGGAGGAGGTGGAGGGGGCCCCATGGAGGGGACAGGAGGCGGAGGTGGAGGGGGAGGACTAAAACTCCCGTTGAAGGATGAACTGGGGTGAATTAGCATTTCAGGGGATGGAGGAGGAGGGAACTCTGGGGAGGTGGAGCAAGCAGGGGGTGGGCCCTGAGGAGTGGTTGGTAACAGAGGAGCTGGCGGAGATGTGGCTGCACTGAAATTTGGCGGTAGAGGAGGAGGGAAGGGCGGAGGTGGGCTGAGAGGGGTGTTGGGAGCTGAGGAAGAGGAGAGGGGCAAGGGTGGAGGTGGTGGTGGAGGAGGTCCGGAGCTTTTAAGTGAGTCAGAGGTGGTAGAGGAAAGGGAGGTGGAAGAGGAGGACATGGATACAGAGGAGAGCAGAGATGACTTCCTCTCGGGCACTTTGGGCTTGGGCCGGCTGCCTGAGGGAGACATGGACCTGACGAACGAGGGCACTGGGGTTCCAGCTGTGGGGGTGTTGGACTGGCTAGAGTAGCCGCTAGATGGGGAGGTCAGTCTGTGCACCCTGTCTGGTGAGGAGGTGGACATTTTAGGTTTCACAGCCACCCCTCCCTCCTGGCCTGGGGCTCGGGGAGCCTGGATGTTGTTGTGAATCTCACCTCCATTCTGTAATCCTCCTGGGTTAGCCCCAGCCGACATGTTATCTGTGGTGTGGGCCGGAGGGGTCTGTGCCCTCTGGTCCCCATGGTTACGAGGGAAGTCCATGTAGTAGCCCCAGGATTCATAGTCTGAGCGCAAGCTGCTGGTCTCACTCTGAGCAGGCGTCACATGGCATAGCGAGTATACGTTAGACACGCCGCCACAGTTGGCGTTAGCTCCTAGTGATGCTGCAGAGCTACCTGCACTGATGCTACTCTGACTGCGTGGCCGTAGCAGCCAAGGGTCATCGTAGTCGCTGCTTGGGCTGTGAGAGGGTGAAGAAGGTGAAGCCCCTTTTTCTTTCCCTCCTCTCAGCCCAATCTGTAGACTCTGCTGCAAGCTGGCAATTAGAGTCTCATTGAGCATGGCTCCGTTTGGCTCGTTACCGCCGCTGATGGCGCTAACGCCTCCGAGGGGCTTTTTCGCACCAGGTTTGCGTCTAAGAGAGTCTGTACGAGCTGGGGGCAGCGGGGGCTTCTTGGACTTGCGGAGGGAGATGCTGCGGGACAGGGAGCGATCACTGTACAAGCTTCCAGAGTCTTCCTGATTGGCCATCTCACGGCACTCGTACATGCTGTGCCTGGTGGCCCGCCCAGCTGCTGCGCCATGCCCACTGCCATGGTTGCGAGAACGCAGGCCTGAGTCCATGTGCATGGAGGTGTAGTATCCATCATTGTCTTGGGAATAGACAGAGCTGGAGTCAGTAGTGGTCCTGGAGGAGAGGTCCAGACTGCTATACAGCTGGTTTATAGGAGTAGAGCAGCTGGAGGTCAGAGTGCGGTGTGGGACCACCACGTTTTCTGGTGTGTCGTAGATCCACTGCTCCTCTGGCAGACAGGATGGGGGTGTAGGGGCCAAGGTGCTGTGGCTATGTACACTGCTGTCCGAGTGCCCTGATTCACTAGCCGGTGCTGCGACTACCAGACCACCATCCTGTGGTGTATGAGTTGGGGTAGAAGTGGCCAAGGCTGGGCAGGTGGAGCTGTGGGTAAAGGCTATTGGACTGGAGATCAGGGGGTCCGTGTTGGTGGAGGAAGCCAGACTGAGTGGCCGAGCTGTGGGGTAAGCTGAGCCTGGGGAGTGGGAGAGCTGACCGGAGGTGTTGAGGGTAATGACCTCAGAGGAGCTAGATAGGGTCGCATTAGGGATGAGTGAGGTGGAATAAGCAGCATGTGGGGAGACCACACATGCTGGACCGCCACCCCAATCACTGGCCTGTGTTCCCCTCAACTCCTGAGACTTGGGCCTGGGCAGGGTGCCTGTCCTTGGGGCATTTCTCATGTGCACCACTGTGTTGTCAACCTGAAGCTTTCCAATCTGCCTCTGAGGGGTAGTTTGCTGCTCTGACTTGATGGGGGTGCTGCTATAGATGGGGTCAGCACTGAGGGACACTCTGGCGCCCTGTCGGGGCAGACTGTGAAAACGGGAAGGGTCTCCGTTAAAGTGATGTGGCAGCATCAAGATCCCAGAGCTGTCACTACTTGAGATAGATATACTTCCTGTCGAGGAGGAAGCGGAAATGCCGGCCATTTGTGCAGCGATTCCCTGTCCTCTCTGAGCCCGAATTCTTCTCATGGACGGCGGTACAACCTTCACTTCTTCTGTCTGGCAGCCTGAGTCTCTGGTCTGTGAACGTCGGAGCGTTGAGTTGACACTCCCAACTCTGCCCAAAGTGGAGTACTGTCCCGGTATGAACATGGAATGCGGCCGGAGCTCTCCGCCGTGTCCTTTTGCTGCTGTTAAAGGAAGAAAAGAAAATAAGATAAACATATGAATGTTCACAACGTCTCTTGTCTCTTCTTGCTCCACTAATCTTCTCTTTCCTCTCAATAACCTCTTCAGCCACAATGCCTTCTGCTCCTTTGACATATAAACTGTGGTCACAGGGAAGCTAATTAATTTGATTTGCTGTAACCCTGTCTCATGCGTTAATAACTTCTGGTCTTCTTCATTAAGGAGGAAAGGATATGAGGGAAGACGGAGACTCCCTACTATGCTTCCCCTCATATTCTGGCTTTGGCTTTGGCTCAGTCTGACAGAAAAGCAAATATGCTGCTGGGGTCCAGGAGAGGCAGCTGGTTAGGTATAAGGCAGCCAACAAACAAACACATACATGGATGGAAACATACACAAAGACACATGTGCACACATACACAATGCTGACATGGTCATGCACTGTCATATAGCACAGAACATAAAGATAGATTTAGAGACAAGGACACACAGAAATGCAGTTATCACAAAGACACACGCACCAAACATACCAGCTAGTAAACAAAAAATTTGAAGAATGAGTTGTAAAAACAGAAAGGACGTCTAGTGTGTCTCCCATCTGTGGTGGCTCTCCTGTTGATGCTCGTATCCCAAAACATACACACTCGTGCGTCCTTTCTTCTCTCTCCCCCTTCTCGGTCTCTCTAAACCACACATACACTCTCTTCCTCCTTTGCTAAAAGCTGGAGTGACAGCTTGGCTGCTGCTGCTGCTGCGATAGATTAAGCTGCAGGTCTACTTCGCAGGCAGCTCTAGTGCAAGGAGAGGGAGGGATGAAGCACGGGGACAATTACCCCGGCCCAGTAATCATGACATTCAGATGCTGTCGTCAGCTGGGCACTAACCAGACTTTAAAGCTCTTTTCCTATCAGTCTTGGTGATCTTATTGCACAGAGAAATGACATTCTCCTTAAAGCACTGCTGCCATACTTCAGCTCAGAGATGTGTAAATAAACATCAGCCATGCGGTGCCGTCAGAACAGCACAGTGCCAGCTTAGTAAGCTTAGTGCTCGCTTAACACCCAGCTATGCTGAGTAACTGTTGGTAGAAAACCTTTGAACCTTCATATTTGTTATTTAACCCTCAATCTGTTTGTAGGTCTGAAGATCAAATGTTCTGAAAATGAGGCAAAAGAAGAGGGTTGTGGGGCCTTTTATGTGTCCACGATCAGGGACTCTCAATCAGTACATGCTGGTAAGTAAGGCACAATGGGGACACATGCCATGATTATCAATATGGCCCCAGGATTAAGACACAGCCACACAAATAACACATTCACAGAAAAGGACTGCAGAAAGTTGACCCCAAAGGATTATGGCACAATACGTATTTAAGAATGCCTGCGCTTAACTTCTCCTATGTGAAACGATTTTCAAACAAGCAACTTCTGAAATGAGATTCTATGAGGGCAAAAGTTTCTAGAGGAGGAAAAGGAGCTAAATCAAAACCACAAAACTACTGAAAAGGATTTTATAACTGGTTCCTGGCTGTGGATACAGTTAAACAGGATGGAGGAGAGCAAATGAGGACACTTGGTATTCAGAACTGAAACAGGGAAAGACTGAACAACTGCAAGGCCTTGATCCAACACTGTGGACTTGCATGTATCATTTTCTCCCTCTCAGTATGACTTACTCAGAACAATACTGGTGAGTTAATTCTCAACTCAATGTATACAGTTATTCTTGATAAAAACATAATTAAATAGAGATTAAGGTTATATGACGTAGTGAAAGAAGGAGGGATGCTTGTCCAGAGTGTTGGTACAGGTCTGTGGACAGTAGAGGGCAACATATTGCCCCACAGTGGTCCATACCTAGCTCCTGGTTGATGTTGTCAGGCAGCCCTGATATAGTCTTTCTGCGTTTGACCTTCTTGGGCCGACGGGACACGGTGTCAGTGTTAATGAGGGAGCGCCGGATGCTCGCTTGTCGGTCAAACACTGCCCCTGGTAGCCGGGAGGGCGAGAGCAAGGCAGGCGGACACACAGGCAAACAGTAGTCGGTTAGTTGAAGGGAACAAACTCACAACATGCAGAAAGTTTTTATTTTTTAGTTGTTCATGCAACATCAGCAGGGCAAGAAACCCAAAGGGTCACTTTAACCAAATTATGAAACAACACTTTCTCACCTCCCTCTAGTGGCATGCATATAGTTTTGGTCTTATTTGCCCAAGTTTTGAGATCTGTCTTTTACAACCCTCCTCAAAATACAATATAGGTGAGCTGAAACCTTTGTGATGCTCAAAATTTTAATAGCAACATCTTTTGACAGAAAGACTGTCTCTGTTGCTCACTGTGGACAGTTTTCATAGGCACAATTAAACTATTGCCTGACTGATACTAGATTTTCTAGGTTGATACTTAATACCAAGAAGCTTAAAAAATCCAATAATAAATTGGCCAATTTTCATTTAACATAAATTCATAATGTAAAAAGACAATCTTGATGTCGGTTTTAAATTGCATCTTCCAGTTGAGAAAGCTGAAAAATTTACTTTTTTTTGTCTGGCGTATAAACTATCCAACCATGACATGGTTTCTAAAATACCCTGCTGCACTGCAATGTTTTGTTACTTATCAGCCAACATATACACCTATACAGATATATCTGCAAAAAGATCAAATCAGCCAATATTGGCTTCAATTTATTCTACAAAAAAAAACTGTCAACAGTGCGGCCTACATGGTCATGTTTCTATAAATACGAGCTGCGTGGAGGCAGAAACGTCAGAGGCAAATATCTAAACATGGGCTATATCTATATTGCATTATACCACTAGAGTAAAGTGAGATCATATTTTTTCTGTCATTTGGGTCACCTGACCTGAACTTTTTCATCCATCAGCCAAAATGCCAAAAAAAGACAAAATTTACCAGCCACTTTCAGTCACTTTCAGTTCAGAGACCCAAGTCTAGTTATTAGAGCAGAAAATAACTAAAGCATTGGCTCATCAAGAAGAGGCTGGCAAAGAAATCCTCTCATTTTTGGCTGAATTTTGTGTTAATTTTCAACACCGAATAGAAGTAAATGATGTGTAAACATACATGACGGTTTATGTAAGATGTAGAGTGCATGCTCTTATCACAAAAACACACGCATGCACAGGAAAGATATGAGGTGAAACAAGCGCGCACACACACATACACACATTCTCTCTTTCATTCTTCTCAATATCCTTCTCACTCTGTCCAGTCACCCTGAAGGATATCTCACAAGGAACTGCTCTTATTTCTGCTATTTGGCTAGCTGGTGACAGCCTGCAGGCGTTAGGGAAATAGAAATTGATATGAGGGCAGATAGTGTCTATCACAGTCCCCCCTCAGAGTGACAGAAAAGTCCCTGCACTCTCTCTGAGTCTGTGTTTGTGTTATATTCTCTCTTTCTCAGTAATCTAAAGTGACAAGAGATGAAGTCAACGGTGATTTGTGTGGAGTGGGACCACATTAAGCACTCATTAGTGTGTAAAGGATGATGGGATCAGAGTTATATCGGGCCTGACAACAGCAAAATTCAGATGTTGATACTGAACTGCAATATCTTCTTCTTTTTTACACCTCATACAAGATATGTGGCTGAGTTTATGTTTTATGAGTGAAACAATGGACAAGCTAAAGTATAATATATTAATCATCAGAAATGGTATGTGTGTGACTTGTGAGAAAAATGTGACATGCTAACAAGGGAATTGCATCGACACGTTTTGCTGTGTACGAGTGTTCATCTGTCAAACGCCTGGTGATCTGACATAAAGTCAGTGAAAAGCCTTGACCCCTTGGATAAGCTGTCAAACGATTTTCACACACAAATGCTCGCTCACACGCGCATAAAGGAAGGTGAAGGTCAGTCTCAAGAAGCATGAAGGAAGGGGAGGATATACACAGAGGTGCAGGAGGAGAGGCAGACATCCATGACTGACACATACAGTTTCTTCCTCTGTGGATGACTGGTTACAGTAATTGATTAGTCTATATCCACTTACCCACAGAGGGTTGATTAAAGGAACAGTCTGAAATTTTGCTTGTTTGGCTTTGGGTTTCCCTTTTTTGCTGCCTTACTGAGAATTAAATGAGAATACCAATAAAAGCACAATAAATGTGTTAATGTGGCAGGTTTGAAATTATTGAAAGGCCATTTTCTACTAACGTTTTTACCATTGGATGGATGGCTATGCAATTTTGTACAGACATTCGTGGTCCAAATAGCTTTTTCCTCTACACCTTTGGCTGGCTGTTACTACTGGAGTGATATAATTTTAATTTGTCCAATACTTTGACCTGCACAACAAATGGCATTTCTATCAGCCACAGCTGCACTTTGTGTTTCACTGATGGTGAAAATGGTAAATATTATACCTGCTAGCTAACATGGCTGTAAACTCTTGGTCTTGTTTATTTGGTGGAGGCTAGCTGTCTCCTTCAGGCTTCCAGGCTTTGTCTTAAGCTAGGCTAAGCATCGCATGGAGCTATCTCTGTATTTAAACTCAGACATGAAATTGATAGTGATCTTCTTATCTAGCTATCCACTAAACAGCAAATCAAGCAAATGTCAAAAAATGACAGGAAATTCCTTTGAGACAAACCAAACAAACTGTGGGATTGGTTATGAGAGGTTAATGTTTCAGAACAGACACCAGGGATGAATGAAACCAGTCAGTTCAAACTCAAAGTAGTTTGATCTTTCTACGTTGCTACTCAGTATGGAACTAGAGGACCAGGAGTGTTTTCCACTACCAACACTAATGGGGATTGGTCGCTACTTGCTAGTGGTTAAGAGATGGAAAAAATGGTTGGATGACTGCGGCTTCTAAGAGGTAATACCTGTGACATTGATGGCAACTATGTCTGTGGGCACGGCCTTGGCCGTCTGCCTCATCTTCTCCTCTGGGGTGGGGAGGGGTGCAGCCTTGTTCCATACCACCTGTCCGTCAACCTCAGAAACCTCGCCTCCTTCACCCTGCGGGGTCTGGGGCCTCATGGACAGCTGAGATTTGTTGTCCTCTGCTGATGAAGCTGTGGACTGGATGAGAAAGGGGGAGAATGGGTTAACAAGACGTAAAAACATAAAGTGGAGCAAAGAGAGAGACAAGAGGATTGGAGAGAGAGAGCAGAGACAGGAAGAAATGAAAGCTGAAAGAGGAGAGGAGGAGAGACGGGGCAGAGGGGAAGAGAGAGATAATAGAAACAAGGAATGAAAAAGAGAATAAAAGTGACATGTAGACGAGGTGGGACGAGGAAAAGAGTTGAATGCAGAGAAGGAGAGAAAGAGACAAGACAGGAAAAGGGAGTGACAGAGGTGAGAGAGATAAAAGACAATGTGGAGTAATGAAAGGAAATGGAAAACAAAGATTTTGTCGTACTGAATTAGAGCACAGAACTAATGGGTGAAGAACAATCTGATGGTAAAAGGTCAAGATAATAGAAGAAAATGTGAATATGAATAGAAAATTATAGAAGAGAACTTAATTGTCCAAAACTATAACCGACAGACTATACGGTCTATATTGGCACACACATAAACAGACTTTAATATATTGCATTTATGTGACCTTTAGAAGCTTGTTGGTGCTGTAAACATGTTTCACGATCAAATCAAGCCAAATGGAAACACTCACACACACATAAACACACACAAACACACACAAACACACACAAACATCTATCAGATCAAACTGACGGAGCATTTGGAAATGGCAGGATAAAAGCAAGAGAGCAACACTGAGGAGAAAGAGAGAGAATCACTCATGCATTAAACTGTGTTCACTCACTAACAGCTCTCAATCCTGAAGGAGAATTTACTGCAGAGAAGCAACAGACACCAATGTATCACTGCAGCATCCAGGCTTAAAATTGAGCTGTTAGTGAACAGAAAACCTGCTATTTCCATTTTACCGAATGTTTAAGTCCATCTGAGATTTAGAAATCATTATTTTTCAGACTAAATACAGGTTTGAATTCAGAGCACGGTCAACATAAACAATCCCAAATTGTTCTGATTATAGATCAATTTCAGGGGCAGAATCACTTTCACTGCATCACCCAAAATTTGCCTGGATGCCTCAGATCAAACTTTTCCTCCCTGGAAAAAAAAAGGTCTGGTGGGAAATCCTCAGTGTGATTTTGTTGGTTAGAGACTGAAAATTGCTGGAACAAACTTCCCTAGAATACATCCAGCAAGCCTTACGTCCATTACGGTTTATCCTGACAACCCCAAACATCAGACTGGCTAGAAAAGATGGCTATTAGTGCTTTCACAAAAAACCACACATGGATGGATGGATAAATGGGGGCGAAGCAACCGAGGGGAGAGAAGAGGGGAGGATGTAAAGAAAGGATCTGAGCGACTGTTTGGTGGTAGGCATGGCTTGTTATTTTGCATCATTGTGACTCAACCAGGAACCCTGTTTCTCCTTTTGAGGCTGCTGTCAGGCAAAGTTAGGCTCACTGGCCTCGGGACAACAGGAAGTGATGGGGGAAGAGAGGGTAAGGGGGACAAACAGCGGAAAAGAGGAAGGGCGAAGGAAAGCAGAGAGGAGAAGGGGACTGGCTCAGGTTGAAGTGAGGGTGCAGAAAGTAGAAAGACAGATAACGAGAGATTGGAGTCGACAGTTCAGAAAGACAACCGCATGTTATGAAGGTCAAGGGTCGAGGCAGGCATGAAACGAGCGGCTGGCATCTGAGGGCTCTGGGGGACAAAGAAGACCCTCATAATAACAGTGAAAGACCCCCCTGACCCTTTCAGGACCCCTCATATCACATTGTGTGTGAGAAATAAAAATGAGGAGAGGAGGCATATCTGGCTGTTAAACCATTTACGCTTCACTTCACACTAACAGTCTGCCAGTAAAAAGAGAAATAAATAGTAGTTTTTGTTCCATCCCTGTCTCTCTTCATGTATCACCCTCCTGAAACTACAGTACTGTGACATTAGTCAAACAACAGCCCCACCAAGTGTAAAGGAAAGTATACTGGAAAAGAGCCAGCAGGTGTTTATTCTGTTTATATATTTGTTTTAGCTCTATTGGTTTATCTAGTACTCTACTACTTTCATGAATGGTGCTTAAAGTCATAACAACAGTGAGTGAAGGAGTGATTAATCCTTTAATAGACCAAGAAACATATATAAATATTAGTAATGTTAGACTGAGGAAAATGTGCATTTTCATGTGTGGCCACTAGAGGGCAGACTGACACTGTTTAAATCACTGGAGGTGTGTTGCCATGCTGCTGAATCAGCACTAGACTGCAAAGCACTGCTATGTACACACTTGTATGTACTCAAAATGTAGTGAGTGTTACACCTGGACAGTTGAGTGTGTATTAGTGTGTAACCTGTACCTTCTTATCGTGGTCATCATCCTCATCGTCCTGCAGGCTGCTGGTGGACTGTGAGGGGTCTGAGAAGATGGGACCCTGAGAGTAGTACTGAGAGCTCCGGAAACCATCTTTCCTCAACTTGTCACATTCTGCAGGACAGACAGAAACGTGTTACAGATAAATAAGGCTTGGCGCGGATGTTTGTCAGTCACATGAGTGCTTGTCTCTGCTAGCCGCTGCCAGGCGCTGCTCACGCCTCCTCTTGTCACCACCTGCTGCGATAGGGCTGTGATGTATGTGTGTGTATGCCAATGTGTGATAGGAAGAGAGTGTATAAATGAATGTGTGTGTGTAACTAGAGGAGGGGGTATCGGTTTCAGTCTGTCACACACAGATGGCAGAACTGTCCCTCTCTCTCTCCTCCACCTCCCTCCTCTCGCTCAGGGGGAAATTAGCACATCATCTCTCTATTTCTCCCTCTGCAAATATACTAATGCATCCTTTGTCTAGTCTTTTAATGGCTAATTATATTCATGTAGGGCCTCAACTACAACACACAGTAGAGCTTTTTTTGTGCTGATGCCTGTAACCTGAAGAATAAAGAGGACAAAACTTAAAAATTTCTATTTAACTAACTTGTGAAATGAGTTAAAAAAAAATCTAGAAACACCCCTCTCGACTGCATTGGTAGCATATCAACTGACAAGCATGTTTTTTTTTTTTGTCTTTGTCTGCATATTATCCCTGATCCATACAAATGCAAATCTTTGAGATTTATTCAGTGTGTGATCAAAATCCCTTTTTGGTGACACATGTACCAAAAAAAAAAACACATCAGTCCTAGCCTGGCACCTCAGGTCTCAAGATGCTGCTTTTGATCCCTTTCATGTGCCATCTATCTCCATAGCTAATTACAGCTCGTCTCTCTGTGGAGAAACACACTGGTGCATGTATAATACTGCCAGTTAATGGACCCTAATGGGGTTGGCAAAGGTAGCTACTGTAACCACAAGCTGATGTGGTAGCGATGTGGAAGAAGGGATTTGGAAAGCATGATGATAATGAGGATGATGACGGGGGAGCGTAGCTGTTAAGATGATTGGTGTTGCGTGATTGGGGACGGTTGATAAAAATAAATAGGCGTTGATTAGCTGAGTGCTGATTGTTGCTAGGCAGAACTGAAGGGAGGGGACCCGGTAAGTGACATGAAAGAACGCAAGCAGAGAGAATGAAGGATATTGGGGACAAATATAACATAATGATATGAACAGGTTGTATCCATGTATATATTATCAAATAATATATAACAGATTTGCTCAAAATACTAACATATGGCGTGTAGTGCTTATTTAGGGCTACAGAGAGGCACAAGATGCACAAAACACAGTCACTAAAGTGGCAGTATAATGTAACATGTAGACAACTGCACCTGTACAGAGCCTGAGAAAGCTCTAATCAAACATAATTATATTTTCAGACAGAACTTGATCCTGGTTATGTGTCTACCATTTTGCATTGACCTAATGACCTTCACTGTGTCTTCTTTGGTGTTCAAGCCGCAATATGTTTGTATTTCTTGTGAGACTTTTCATTAAACCTGCATGTTTCTTTTGCCACTTGGGGGCAGCAAACACAAGTTGGGAACAGAAAATTTGCACATTATTATTATTATGTTCTAAGAACGTATGGCTCTCTAATACTAACAGTAGTTGTAGAGCAACATTATCTTTAATTTGGAGTCGTTGCTCAATGTATGTCCAATATTTGGTCTCCAACTCCTTCAGGAAATATCAGCTAGTTACTGTGTCTGTCTGCTGTTTGACGCTGAGCAAGTAGTGTACTAGCTTTTAGAGCTTTTTTGCCCAAAGTAGCTGCCTGGTAAGACACTATGAGAGCAGTGAGAGTGTATCAAAACAGTAAAGTTGCAGCCAGGCAGCTCAAACTCTATTAACTTTGTTAAGATTGAACAGATTTATCACTCTAATTGACCCCTTTACATTGTCACACTGTTTTAGATCGTCATTTGATATGTTGCTATAAGTTAGCCAATATATGTGAAGTAATTATGATGAGATTAGATGATTATCAGATTATGGAGATAAACTTTCTGATTGTCTGTCTGACCTTCCAGCTAATGCATCATTTTTGCGATATTTCCGTACTGATGATAATCATATGACTGTTACGTGACCTCCCTGGTGTATTTCGACCTGTTGGCCCGTTTGAGTGTATGAAAGGAACACCACAGTGGGTGGACATTGCCATCTGATTGGTTATTGATTATTCTGCTTTGCAGAGCAGAAAGCAGGACTCATGTACCTTGCTATGCTCATGCTAGTGACACTGGAATTAGTGACTGGTTACACGTGCATGAGAGCAGGAGTTGAGCCTGGTTTAACCTCCTGATATAACCTCTAAATAATATAATATCTTGTAAAAAATACTGTTATTACTATTAAACATGTGAATTATGGAAGGATAACTGATACAGATATGGGATATCTGGTATTTGGGCATAATGTAAAAAAAACTAAAACACTAAATCTATTCTCTTAAACTGTGTAACCTCCACTCTAAACTTCCTGGGAGTGGATAAGGAATTATGGAGCTAAAAACACACATAAAGACTCAAATGGACAGAACAGGTGCTCTCATTGGACACCTGTTGTCTTTCAGTTAGGACCCCTGGGGCTGGGTGGTGGTGACAGGATGGTGACAGGATAAGGGGCGGTGGGGGCTAAATTTATGCAACCTCCCAGGTGGTGTTTGTGTATCTAGCAACATCAATATTGCAGAAGGTAATATGTAACAGCAACAGCACAGGGGTCAAACAATGGCAAAGGCAACACATTGTGTGTGTGTGTGTATGTGTGTGTTAACGCAGGTGACTCACGTTTTACACACTAAGTATTAGGTTACAACCGGCCTCTCCCCATTTATCTCTCTTTCTCCCTTTATCAGTCCCCTTTTATATCTGCTGGCACACAAGGCCACCCTAGCATGTAAACCACAAGCCTTTACTGTAACACATCCACCCATGTACGCACACATACACACCCATATACACACTTCTAAGTCTTTTCTCACACCTGCTTCTCAAACTGTTATCTGAGAAAAACACAACCTTCCCAGGAACTCTCAGTAAAACAGGTGCCAGGATTTAGTGGTATTCCCACTTCCTGTTCTGGGAATGTTGTGAGAATATTAAACCGTTCTCACTCTGTTGTAACTCCCTGTGTTTGTTTGTTTGTTTGACAACAAGGCTGTGTCTGTTTTTGTCTAATTGTACTGGACAAACAGGAAGAAGGGGATCTCACACAGTTGTGTAGTTGGCTAAACTTTGGACTGAACACAAATTACAGGTTTGGACATTTTTACAATGTTGTGGACAAACACAGCTGATCTTTATCTCGATGCCATGACAAATGTTGATGACGCACAGTAACGTTCCCACTAGCGAGATTTGTCATTGTGCATAGTTTCGTTGAATTGGTTGCTATGGATTTTAATTACTTATTGCAGATAGCTATGACACCCTAAATCTAATAAAACATTTAAATAAAAAAGCTACAGGTTTGATAATTGATTAATGGTTAACCGGTTTCAAGCTAAAATGATAAGAATTCTTCACAAATGTGAATATTTTTCTGTTTTGTTTGATTGCAAATTGAAACTCTTTGGTTTTGGACTGTTGGTCAGACATTTGGATACATCAAATTGCGTTCTGAGAAAATTTTATGGACTTACAGACCAAACTACTAAGAAAATTATGAATTGTCAATTAAAATATGTTGTTAGTTAAATATTCTAATATTAACAATTCCAAACAACTCCTCTAACGCTGATTTTGTCTGTGATCATGTTGGATCCCGTCAGACTCTCTGAAGTGGTCAAATTAAATAAACCTTACCTCGCAGGGCGGTCTTGAGGTTGACTTTGGCCTGACGGTGGAGGTCTTCTACGCAGGGTGGCCTGCTGCCCGGTAGGAAGACGTTCTCCTGCTGGTGCCAGGGAGCTGTGTAATGAACCGTCCACTTGCTCTCCTCATCTAGGTTAGACACCGCTGCAGAAAAAAACACAGATCAGGTTATAAGATTTAGTATATTTTGAGTTATATTTCCAATTGTATTGACCCGAGTGGATCTCCTGAAGGATGTTTTACTACATCCTCTCCTCAAGAACAGTACTGTGTTTAAAGTTAACACAGCCACAGTTGAGATACATAGTGTAGAAAAGTTAATTATTTCTAAGTTCAACCCTTTGGAATAAAGTAACTTCTGGACTAAAACATGTCCTTTGCACGCAATACTGGCTACTGAACGGATTTCTTAATATTTAGAGGAGAAAAGGAAGGGGAAGATGGTGCTTTGCATCGAGGCGTCAGTCTCCACACCAACAACCTGACACATATCTGAGACATCACACAGTAGGCCACACAAGTCAAAGGGGGAGGAGGGAAAAGGAGTAAGTTTGAGGGAAACACTAACCAGATGATATTCAGCTCACAAATTCAAAGAAGCTACTAGAACTTACAAAAGCTAACTTTTAAGCATGCTAACCTCTCCTTGGAGAAAAAAAGAGGCAATATAACAACACTGTGCACACTTACACTCATTCAATGGGTGGAACATTTAGCCAGAGATAAACATACACAGCTGGATAAGACGTCCAAACCATCTTTTCTTTACAAGACAGGGAAAACAACTCTTTTTCATTGTTCTTTCAGTTTTTTGGGAAATTTTTTAGAGCACTTCTCTCAGTCAGACACCATCAAAGAAATATTTACAGGACATTATAGTGCTTTCCTTTGTTTTTCTCTCGCAACTAGTGGTGATCCAGAAATGATTGAAGCTTATTCCAATGCTGCATTTTTTAGCCGACCCTGAATACAAGTTTCAGCTGTGTAAACATAAATATACGCAATAACACAAACACTCCTCAAAAGTCAGGCTTACCAAGTGAGCGTATCCAAGCCAAAGTTGGTGATCGTGGATGTAAGATTATCTCCATTTAGCCACATATTAGTTAAGACTGCTATCTGTTTGTCCCTGTCCTGACCCTCCCGTCATGTTCATCTCACTGGGAATGAGGGAGATGTCTGGGGGAACCAGGAGGAAGGGGATGGGTCATGAAAGGGGCTGGAGGTGTGTAGACTGTGTTTGTTTGAGGGCTCTTTTAACAGGTGCTAATGAGCCATAGTAGGATGCATAGTGTCTGTGTGTGTGTGTCGGGGGAGGACAGCAGGCCTCCGAGGTAGAAGTTTAGGGCGGGGTCTTATGATTGCAAATTGGCTGTTGGAGAAGGTGTGAGACAGTATTGAACTCCTTTGATATACAGATAACCTCTGATAGGCATCACCACTGACCATTTTAAAAGCCCTATAGTGGTACTAATGAGTACAGCAAAGTTGAAGTTGGACGTACGGTGCGTATTGTTGTATATTGT